AAAGATAATAGACCAATTTTCATAATGCTTTATGTTCTTATTTTAAGTTGTTATGAACCGATTACTTGTTCACTAAGAGACAGAGCTGCAAAGTATCTAACACTTACCGGTTTCATGAGGATTGATGGACACAAATACTCATCATTTGCAAATGAAAATCGTCTTATCATCCTCCAGCATCGATTTTCTTCACTGTGTTTGCTTGTTTCTTCTAAATTTCCATTAGTAGGAATGAGCGGAATTTCCTCTTGCTCAACCTCAGATGTAGCCGGCGAAGATGAACGTGCGCTACTTATGCCATCGCATAGAGGCGATTGATCACACTTTGTGTCAATCGAAGAGGAACGGCTTCGGTGCTTGGGTAAGCTAGTTAGTCTTGGGCTAGCATTTGTATCGCCAGAATAGTGAATAATTCGGGCATCCAAAGGTTGTCTACCTTGGTTATCCGAATGTGAAACTAATATATCATTATTTAATGAAGTTTTGTCAGCATAATTAAAAATGGGTGTCTGATTGGAGTGTGGTTGAAATGATGAATCCATAATATTAGGCCATGAACCAATGATATATGATGATGACTTGCCCTCCGAAAATGGAGTATTGATATTCCATTTCGATGATCCTATTTGATTTGACAAAGCCCCAGAGTCCGCTTCACTTAAATAATCATCAAGTTTTTTTAAAGATCTGGAGCTATCTGGTTGATCGTCTCCAACAGCTAATTTCTGCCTCTTCGATAAAGCACTAGAAGGAAGTTCGCAGAGGGTGTCTAAATTGGACATATCCATCGATAACTGACAGGTAGCATCCTCGCCAACTCTTTCAGATGATTTATGTAAATGTTCATATTTGACTTGTGATGAAAGATAATCTAAATTAGATTTAAATGGAAATGCATTACCTAATTGTGTTGAGGGAAACTGATTATGCGCCATGTCAACTAGGTTAACATGTTCATTTTCAGGACAAACCAAAAAAGATGAAGTTGGATGAGTTACATCTTCTCCAAAAGATTCCCAAGATTTTTGTATTTCATTAAATTTATTTATATCATTGCCCATAAATATTAAAGACTCTGAACTAGGTTTATGTGTACCAGAAATTGTGGGGCTGGTAGCCAAATGTGTGCATGAAGCCAAAATATCATTTCCTCCTGTTGAAAACTCTACTGCATTATTAAGATTACGTTGCTCGAGATTGCTTATAGGTATTATGTCCTTTTTGTGGTTTAAGCAGTTGTCGAAATTATGTTCATTAATCGAAAAGTCGTGCAAAGTTTTATCCAAATTCTGAGAACTTGCAATATA